TGGTGAATATCTCATCTCTAGTGGTGTTTCGGGATTGTCTCCAAAGTGCCTATTATGGTATTTCCCCAAAATTAAGACCGGATCTTATATTAATTTTTGCTCCAAAAGACACATTAGGGCTTATTTTCCGATTGGGTCTTATTTTCAGGGAAATACGATACTAAATGTGTTGGTCCAGCTGACAATCTTAACTGGGGCTTATTTTTGGGAGGGGGTAGGGCTTATATTATAAGCATCCTGAGAAATCATGTTGGTCTTATTTACCAGTTGACTGTTATTTTCAAAGAAACAGGGTGCTATTGTTACTACCTTTGCTTTCTTTTATTAATAATTGTTATAATTATTAATCATAATTATATTGCAACAACTACAACTATTGTTTCTGTTTGTTGCTCTTAAGGATTTTCAGACCCCAATCTGGAGAATAGAATATCCATTTTATATCCCGCCTTCAGAGGTGATCGTCGGTAAAAACAAACAAAGAAACCAACCTCAAGATGGTGTCCATATCCATGCAATCAAAGCCCCGCCCCTTTTTACTTGCATCATGATTGCCACTTTGGACTTTTCCAGCATCCCTTCCCTTGTGGATGCCCTCTCTACCTGCCAGGGTTCCCTCTAAGGAGATCAGAGGGTCAAATCGAAGGCCATATGCCATCCCCTCTTTACCTGTAAGGTCCAGTAGAGGGCAGAGGACCATTGCAGGGGGTCCTGCTGTCATCATTTTTGCAGGATGATTCGTTGCCAACCCGGAGCACGTTCGTCGCTTTGCCTTTAGTACATGGGTATTGGGAGAGGGTGGATTTCATTGTCATGAAGGCATAAGTGGTATATAAATCTTCATACGATGGAATTTGCTGTGTGGATGTGGGGTTCTTGAAGTTACTTGTGGCTGTGGGGAGAGAACATGTAAAAACAAGGCAGGCAGAGCGACCCAGAGATGAGTTCATCTTATCAAAAATCAATTGTTTTAATACAGTGATGGCGAAGTGCCAAAAAGGGAGTGCACGCATGCTTGCACGACACCAAATGCCGAAAAGGAGCACTTCGTGCGCATGCACATAAACTTGCCTGGGCTGCGACCAGGAAGAGGAGCTGCCCAGGGGCATGCACAAACCAGAAAATGAACTTCCGGTCAGCAAGTCTTCTGGTTACTGCCATGCATGCACATGTGCACGCACCGAACAGCTGGCTGGCGGGCATGCTCACGATGGAAAATGGAAGACCAACTCTTCTGGTTTCTGGCACTGCCACAGGCACAAAGGCCAGTTGATCATCACATGCACATGCACGCCAGAAACCTGGAAAAGGAACAGGTGACACCGCCAGGCAACATGGCTCCATGTGTCACTTTGGGCATCGCCATCACAGGTTTAATAGCTCATCCATCTCATACGAATCCTATTAGGCCCATGGTTTGGGGAACCTGCCATTTACCCAGCATATGGTTTCCAGAAATGGACAACCAGGTGCCTCCCAGGTACTAATTCCGGTTCCACCACAAAACCGTGGAGGACAAAATCGTGCTCGACGAAAGCGTGCATGTGACGTCATCGCGCTGTGATCGAAAAATGTAAAAATACAGCGAAAACCTTACCCTAACCCCCCCAAACCTAACCCTAAACCTAACCCTAACCCTAACCCTAACCCTAAACCTAACCCTTACCTTAATGTGAATCGGCTTGCTTTCAAAGCG